ATCATTACTCATCTCTTCTCTTTGTCTCTCCCTCCCTCTCCCTTTCAATTTCAATTAAATTTTCACCTCAGTTTGCTCTATTAGCATCCGAGTTGAAACAATATTGGCAAAGCGTTGAGTTAAACTCCCTGTATACATATTTGTGTGTGCATGCGTTTGTGTATTTCTTCCCTATGCAGACTCTCCTACCCAAGCAACCACTTCCAGTTGTGTGTTTGGAAATTACATTAAAGCGGCTACAGAAACTGTTTTGAACAATATAACAAAGCTAGTTTGATTCTGATCAACAATGCAAGTAGCTGCAGAGAATATCTAGATCTTGTCTGTCTGAGTTTTCATTTTGGCTTTTATTGCATGCTGGTTAAATCAGCATCACAATAAAACAAGAAATGTAATGCCATTCCCATTAAGTAAGTTATTGCTCATTACAGTACACTCTCTTTCTAAGCAGCAGAATTTGAATTTCTTTCATCTACCATATTTCTAAATTACCTGGGGAAATTATTGATGTGCACATACAGACAGACAAGAATTGGCAGTATTTCACTGCAGAAAGAGCAAGGAAATACAACAGTAGCGCTAAAGACAAGGTTGCAAAAGAAACATCTGAACACATGAAGTACTAATTGTACATTCCATAAACATCAATTTATTTACTCATTCGTTATTGCCACTTTGTACAAGTTGTAAGCACAAAATTGGTGTTATATCACCTAAAAAAGTTGATGACATGTTAGAAAATGTTTGCCTATGTGCCCATCCAACAGATGCAAAACAACATCCACTCATTTGAGTGATGTTTCTGGTTACCTGATTAATTTAAGTCTATTTAATTTAGTTTACAATGTTGATCTATAAATGAATAAGCTTTGCATTGTGGGATTGTTAGCAGAAAGTAGTGTAAAAACCATGGACACTATCCGTTGTTGGAATTTCATAGGGCCCTATACTGTGCATGAATTACACATTCAGCTGGCACAGAGGTTAATGTAGTGCAGGATATATAGGGAGTTACTTCTGACAGCCATTCTCATTAAACATATTCTTCGATTTTTCAGATTCATCAAATATTAATGTTATTGGCTGGTGATTTAAAAGTATAATATCTATTATCTGCTGGACTATAATGTAAGTGCTGTGTACATCATTGCCTGAAGACAAAACAAGATGTGATCTGACAAATTATATGTTAAAATTAGTGAGATGAGACGTTTCTTGGATCAGGATTGTCAAACATTGTTTCAGTTTTTTATAGGGAACAGCCTGTTCATACATGGATTACTGAAAGACTGAAGTAGAGATGCCAGACAGATGGCGATAAGAGACATTTCCTGGACTTATGTCCCTGTCTGTTTTTTATGTCCCTCATTGCCTTTAAAGAATCTTTTGATGTGTAACTAAAGAGAGCCAAGAGTCCTGTGAGTCAGCTGCAGCTCTCTGCTGTACAAGACTCATTACTATTCCTGATTCAAATCCAAAAGAAGAAACTGACCAGACTGTGACACAACTACAGTTTGTGACATTTTTGTTCATCTATTAAAACGACAGCTTTGTGAATGGATGAACAGTTAGAGGCAAACATGTTTATGAAGTTTGCGATGTTGTTGAGAATGACAGCAAACATGCATTTCCATCCACCTGTTATTATACACATACCCGTATATACACATGAAACCAACAAAGGGTGGAAATTTGAAAATAAATATTGCTGATATATTTACAATAGGCTGAATAGAAGCAAAATACAACAATGTGCAATGGAAAGACTTAATATTAATAGTAATATTCTCATTAATAATATTAGTTAGACTTGAGGATAGAAACATACATTATGATTTATGCTAAATTTGAATAGGAAATTGACTACTGTTACATCATGATGCCACCTTCTGCACCTCCAAATGGCTTTATTTTGACATGGACAGGCAGGAGCTTAGAAATACTCCTTAGAAAGTCCTGTGTGTCACCCTTTCTCTCTCCCTGCGTTCATGTCACTCTTCAGCTGTCACTATCAAAAAATAAAGGCAATAAAAGGCCAAAATAAGAGAGAAATACTGAGATCTCAGAACTGTGTCTCTGTTTTCAGACCATTACAGATCACATTAGTAAATTTAATAGTAAATTTGACATTTGATTTCCTAACGCAAGGTCTAAATGTTGTTTCAAAGCCTGTTACAAAAACAGAAAATTCTGATTAACTACAAAAAAAAAAAACAGATTTTGAAAAATACAGAAATAAACCAATAAAAGTTTTTAATTGCTCACCCCCCCACAATAACATTACAGAAGATGTGACCTCAAAGTCCTCTACGGCCCTGAATAAACACAAGTGTTTATGTTTCTTCCAACAAAAACCAGCACTTTTTTTTTTATGGAGAATAATAATTATCTGGATTCTCCTCCACCAAAGTGCAGCCAGTCTATTTATGACAGAAACAGACCAACTGTTTCTCATTGTGACACCAAAAAAACACCATTTGGTGGATTCT